CCAAATTTGAACTAAATCGGCCCGGCCGGTCACGAGATCTGGAAGCGTCACCCTGCACGTGCGCACGTGCAGCGGCACCCCTACCGTGGCACATGAAAATGGATCGCCTGGTAGGTGACTACCTCCATGCCAAGTTTCAGCGCAATCGGCCCAGTAATTGCCGAGTTATTGCACTTATTACAAAACTGACACCTCTCCGTATTACACGTGTCACGTGCAGTAGGGGTCACCCGCATGCATCGTCCATAGTAAAATACTTCTAAGAAGGGTATACGCTACCCCACACAAAAAACCGCAAGTGTATTGGTCCAGTGGCTGCGGAGATATAAGTCGTACAAAAACGTCCCCACGGCGGCCGGCTGCTAATGTTTAGTATTAAATCGCATCCTTCAATGGGAGGTATCCCTGTCACCTGTTCGTATACTGTCTGAGCCAAGACCATATATAGGTCTGAGCTCAAATCTCGGTAAAGTCGTGCTTTTTTACCAAATTCCTCAAAAACGGCACAACGTGCAATAACGTTCTATATATCATTGGAAAGAGCATCAAAAGTTGTATAACCTATCAACTTTTCACTTAAATATATCTCAACTGTAAAAAGTTATTAAGCAACAAAGACGCTCCCATTGACTTTCCATGTTAAAATTTTTCATTTTTAAACGAGCTTAAAAAGAACAAACGAATTTGCACAGCTTAAAGAAGCATTACAACATGTTCTATGGTCTTTTTTCAACAAGTCCTGGAAGTTTAAACAAAATCGTATCATATAATTTTGTACAATGAGCGAATGAAAATGTCTCTGCAAAAACGCCCATTGACTTAACATGGGGAGCGAAAAAAGTTCAACTTCAAACTCGTGCATCTCAAGTAAACGAATTCTGACGGGTATACGGCGCACACGGGCGTGTACCTGAACGTGTCGGTCATAAAATGGTGTGAAGCAAACCATACCTTGTTCCGCGATTTTTTCCGCTATTCGCGATCGCGCAAAAAGTGTCCAAAACCCCGTTGACTTAACATGGGGAAAATGGAATCGCACGTGCCACGTGCCACGAGGTTTTAAGCGAGTAGCGACCGATGCCATCAGGTAGATCGCCTCCGGGAGCCCATACCCTGAACTTTTTACGAAGATTGAGCGATTCGTCTAGGCCCCTACCAAGATGTCTCGATTCGCTGCCAGACTTGCAAAACATAGCCCGGAGAGCGACCGCTCCGGTTGTTTTTCAATAGAAAAACACAATTCTAACGAATAGTGTTTGTCTTTTCAAACAACCTGCGGTTAGACCAGCATCTGCGATGCCGGGCTCCGCATCGCGGGACCGCAGGTTGTTTGAGCAAGCACCTCTGTACCGCCCGCCGCAAAACGCAAAACCGCAAAACTCGCAAAACGCACGCTCAAAACGCAACGCAAAAGCCGCAAAAAAACAATCGCCCGCAGGCACAAAACCGCAGAAAAAAAAAACGCAAAAAAACCGCAAAAACGCCCGTCCGCCGCAAAACGCAAACACCGCAAAAAACGCAAATGCCACCGCCACAAAAAATCGCCCGCATCGCCCGCCGCCAAAGGCAAAACGCCGCGAAACGCGGCCGCCCGCCTAAAACCGCAACACCGCCAATAACGCCCGGCCGCCGGCGACCGCAAAACCCCGCAAAAAACGGCCGCCCGCCGCAAACTACAAAACGCCGCAAAAAACGGCCGCCCGCCGCAAACCGCCGCTAAAACGGACGCCCGCCGCCAAACGCAAACACCGCAAAACACCCGCATCGCCCGCCCGCCCGCCGCCAAACACAAAAAACGCAAAAAAAGCAAACACCGCCGCAAAAAACGCCCGCAACGCACGCCCGCCCGCCGCCAACCGCAAAACGCCGCAAAAAACGGCCGTCCGCCGCCAAACAAAAACACCGCAAAAAACGCAAAAACGGCCGCCCGCCGCCAAACGCAAACACCGCCGCAAAAACGCCCGCCGTAGGCAAAACGCAAACACTGACTCATTAAGACAAATATGGCGCCCTGCGGCAAATGTGGTGCATTCATATCTACCGTTTAAGCAGCCATCGCTTAATTACAGCGCATCCTAATCGTCCAATTTTCGACAAAATAACGCACATTCTGCACTTTGTGGCAGAATGTGGCGCACTGCACTCAAATGGCGCTTTGAGACAAACGTGGCGCACTGCAACAAACGTGCCGCATTCGTTCATGTCGCTTAACAATTCATCAACCCACCAAATTCTAGTCCAATCGGACTTAAACTGACAAAGTTATGTACATTTGAATATTTCACTATAAAATATATCCGCAACGGAGGTGCCCAAATTTGCACGTGTGCCACGTGATCGCCGGTGGTGTAAGCAGGACTTGTCTCCTCACTGATTGCACCATTTCAGTATTCCTGGCTTGTGCTGTTTTCGGTCTCTAGCGGTGCACCAAAATTGAACTAAATCGGCCCGGCCGGTCACGAGATCTGGAAGCGTCACCCTGCACGTGCGCACGTGCAGCGGCACACCTACCGTGGCACATGAAAATGGATCGCCTGGTAGGTGACTACCTCCATGCCAAGTTTCAGCGCAATCGGCCCAGTAATTACCGAGTTATTGCACTTATTACAAAACTGACACCTCTCCGTATTACACGTGTCACGTGCAGTAGGGGTCACCCGCATGCATCGCCCATAGTAAAATACTTCTAAGAAGGGTATAACGCTACCCCACACAAAAAACCGCAAGTGTATTGGTCCAGTGGCTGCGGAGATATAAGTCGTACAAAAACGTCCCCACGGCGGCCGGCTGCTAATGTTTAGTATTAAATCGCATCCTTTAATGGGAGGTATCCCTGTCACCTGTTCGTATACTGTCTGAGCCAAGACCATATGTAGGTCTGAGCTCAAATCTCGGTAAAGTCGTGCTTTTTTACAAAATTTCTCAAAAACGGCACGACGTGCAATTACGTTCTATATATCATTGGAAAGAGCATCAAAAGTTGTATAACCTATCAACTTTTCACTTAAATATATCTTCAACGTACAAAGTTATTAAGCACCAAAGACGCCCCCATTGACTTTCCAGGTTAAAATTTTTCAATTTTAAACGAGCATAAAAAGAGCAAACGAATTCTGACAGCTTAACGAAGCATAACAACATGTTCTATGGTCGTTTCTCAACAGGTCCTGAAAGTTTAAACAAAATCGTATCATATAATTTTGTACAATGAGCGAATAAAAATGTCTCTGCAAAAACGCCCATTGACTTAACATGGGGAGCGAAAAAAGTTCAACTTCAAACTCGTGCATCTCAAGTTAACGAATTCTGACGGGTATACGGCGCACACGGGCGTGTACCTGAATGTGTCGGTCATAAAATGGTGTGCAGCAAACCATACCTTGTTCCGCGATTTTTTCCGCTATTGGCGATCGCGCAAAAAGTGTCCAAAACCCCGTTGACTTAACATGGGGAAAATGGAATCGCACGTGCCACGTGCCACGAGGTTTTAAGCGAGTAGCGACCGGTGCCATCAGGTAGATCGCCCCCGGGAGCCCATATCCTGAACTTTTTACGAAGATTGAGCGATTCGTCTAGGCCCCTACCAAGATGTCTCGATTCGCTGCCAGACTTGCAAAACATAGCCCGGAGACGGACCGCTCCGGTTGTTTTTCAATAGAAAAACACAATTCTAACGAATAGTGTTTGTCTTTTCAAACAACCTGCGGTTAATTTGAATTCAAACCGGAAGATAAATGTCTCAGAAGTCAGATGTCAACAATATGCACGCATGTTACGTAGATAAGTAGGTACGTTTACGATCTATTTAGAGGCATTGAATATGGTGCCCTCAGGTGACCTCGATGACCTCCAAAGGTCAACTCGGCGATTTCGCCTATCGCAGCAATTTTATAGCCTAGAAAGTACTGGGCTGATCGAGACAAAAACACCACCAGTCGACTTTCTGTAGGTACGATTTCATCATCTGTTTCGAATATGGTGACCTCAGGTGACCTTGTTGACCTTGAAAGGTCAACATGACGTTTTCGCTTATGGAAGCCATTATATAGGTAACCGTGGAAGTACTGCCCTTCTCGAGACAAAAACACCACAGTCGATCCACCGTATGCGATTTCATGAATTGTTTTGAATATTGTGACCTCAGGGGACCTCGGTTGTCGGTGACCTTGAAAGTTAAATGTGACGTTTTCGCCTATGGAAGCCATTCAATAACTCAGACAGAGCGTAGGTATGTACTGATCCGATCGAGACGAAAATGTCGCCAGTCGATTCGCCGTATGCAATTTAATCAGCCATTATAAATATAGTTAGCTGAAGCTCAGGTGACCTCGGCAACCTTGGAGGGTCGGCTTGACGTTTTCGTCTATTGCAACCATTCTTTAGCTCAGGAAGGTCACCTGAGGTCACCATATTCGAAACGGCTGATGAAATCGCATACGGTGAATCGACTGGTGTCATTTTCGCCTCAATCTGCCCTGTACTTTCTGAGTTATAGAATGGCTACAAGAAAATAACCAGACTCAAGTTGACCTTTCAGAGTCACGGAGGTCACCTGAGGTCACAATATTCGAAATGGCCGTTGTTTTGTTGAAATCGCATACGGTGAATCTACTGGTGGTGTTTTCGTCTCGATCAGCCCGACACCTCTTGAGTTATAGGATGGGTTCAATAGACGAGCACGTCAAGTTGACCTTTGAAGGTCACTGAGGTGATGAGGTCATCTGAGGTCACTGTATTTGAAACGGCTAATGAAATCGTATATTCTTATTCGAAAATTCCTACTATTGTTCCAATCGACCCGCTGTTTCCTGAGTTATAGAATGGCTGCAAGGGTGGCGGTCGAGTAGCGCTGTGTTGGCCAATTTTTGTTGAACTGTTGATGCTGCTAGAGAGCGCTATTCTGAACAGGTATTGTCGACAAACCTATACATTCGCCATATTCGTCTGTTCTTTAGCCAGCGGCGGGATCACTGAACTGGCGGGATTCTGTTGATTCTGTTGTTATTTTCCAAGTAAAGTAGACGAATATTACCTAAAAATAAATTAGTTTAAGTTCAAATGACTCTTTAGTGCCCTGGTTCAAATAATTGATATCGTTTGGCATGCACTTTCACCAAACCTATGAGATTCTTGATCATTAAACTGATTTAAGTATTCGGGCTTGATTTCTTTGGCTGGCACGTCACACGTGACTGTACCGGCTGTACCCAATATTCTTCAAGATACGAAGATACCAAGGTTCTTCAAGACTGTACCCACAGTGTATCAGTATATAAATGCTGTACCTCACCCCTTACTCAAAGGAAATAGTTCACTTTTAACATGGGGTCTGAACTGGAATGGTTTCGTATTAGTTACCCTAGGCATTCGTATTAGATCACCCTAGGCAAAGATATTCCATTTCTTATCCCGTAAAAAAGTGCCTTGCTGAAGAATGTGTACCTTGCAGGGTCCATTTCCCTCTTTTAAACTGAACAGTTCTTCGAATACCTATTAAAATATAGAAAATAATCTTTTTCTAAAAAGGTTTTATTTTCTTTGCTGATCATTTTGAGCTTAAAAAATCATAAATCCATTGCAAAAAAACTTATCTCATGAAAGTGAAGTATTCACTTTAAAGATAGGTATTCCATTTGTCATACCAAAATAATCCCTTTACGACACGTAAGAATATTTTCCTTGCAAAGGAATGCCAAGCTTGCAGCCACTTTTGGCAGAGGCCAGTCGTCTTCCTCTCAGCATTCAGTTTGTTTGAGCATACGGCCTTGGTTTGAGCTAGCTCAGTTAGATATGACTGGTCAGTAGTCAATCAATAGGTCAGTCGCACAAACGTCTCCTCGAGAAGCTGAGGTCGTATGGTGTCGGAGGTAAACTTCTCACCTGGATACAGACCTTCCTAGTTGGCCGTCGTCAACGGGTGCTGATTCAGGGCTGCACCTTGGAGTGGGCACCAGTCTCCAGCGGTATCCCCCAAGATTCAGTGTTAGGACCGACGCTGTTCACAATATATGTCAACGACATGCCACTAGAAGTCTCAAGCAATATGAAGATGTTCGCGGATGACACGAAGCTATATAAGCCACTGACAAATCCATCCGAACGTGGTGCTGGTCTGCAGGGTGATCTGGACGCTCTGGCACGATGGTCCTCAAGGTGGCTGCTGCCGTTCAACGCAGGAAAGTGTAAGGTGATGCACATGGGCCAGTGTTCTAAAATTGGATATTGGTTGGGTGTGCCGATGAAGAACAAGAAATCCTAGGATGAGAAAAAAGGAAGTAAATAACTGAAGTATTTTTGCAAAATGGTGTAAATGCCAATTTCTATGCCAACTGATAAACCAGGATTTCATGTCAGGATCTTGACAGGGTGTGAAACAAAAGGATGTGGGTGCATCAACTGTCAAGTGACATGTAAACTGGCTGTTGGGAATACATGAAACTTTTTCAGAGATGAAGTAAAGTCGGTCATTCATATTTTAGGGATGAAAATATTTTCCCCATTAGGTGTGATTTGCCACCAAAAAGTCTGAAAAATGGAACACTGACATGGGCTCAAGAAACCCTGCACACGAATACCGGCTAAACGGGACGCCCATCGCCGTGGTAGACGAAGAAAGGGATCTGGGGATCATAATCGACTCTGAGCTGAAGTTTCACTCCCAAACGGCCGCGGCCGTTTCAAAAGCCTCGCAGCTGCTCGCGGTCATCAAGCGATCCTTCGCTCACATCGATGAGACGACCCTACCCTTGCTCTACAAGGCTCTCGTCCGCCCCTTTCTGGAGTTTGGGAACGCCGTCTGGGGACCGTTCAGCAAAGGAGACCAGAAACGCTTAGAAAAGGTCCAGAGACGCGCCACGCGTATGGTGGAATCCATCAAGCACCTTCCCTACCTCGAGCGTCTGAAGCGTCTCCGACTACCGTCGTTGCTCCACCGCCGCCGCAGGGGAGACATGCTGACGGTCTACCAGCTGTTCCACGGTGGAATCGATGTGCCGCCAACGACCTTCTTCACCAAGAACGAGACCGAGCTGACGAGAGGACACGGATGGAAGCTGCTCAAACCCCGAGCTGTGACTCTCGCCCGACGAAGCAGCTTCAGCGTCCGCATCACCAACGACTGGAACGCTCTACCTGCTGAGGCCGTATCGGCCGAAACACTCTCGACATTCAAGGCACGACTTGACCATCACTGGACCCACCTAATGTATGTCATGCCACAACCTTACGAGTCCTGAATGTCTCCCCAAGTAACTCGGTGAGAACGGGACCTATAGGCCAAGTGGCCTTTTCTATCCCGATGACCTTCAAGGTAAGGTAAGGTAATACATAATCAGGTTCTGCAATCAGCTGCAAACAGTATCTATCAGTGTCTTCCAAAATTGAAAATAGTACCTATGTCCTCTATAAAAATATTTAAGAAAAATATTTTTTCTTGAATTTCGGTGATCATTTTTAGCATGAAAACTGAAAACTGTAGCAAAAAAAAAAAACTGATTTGAGGGAAGTGGTATATTCCCTTTAATCAGTAATAATACAATGAAAGGTCTGCGGTAATAGGAAGGTGCCCATGATAATTAACACTGCCTATTACCATGCACCTAACTTCCCAGTATTTCTTCATTGGCTTGATGTCTGGGCCACTAAGAGAATGATGATTTGCTTGTTGAATGAAATTATATTTCTCAACTCCTTACTTTTGAATTCGTTCTAAAAGAGCAATGGGAATGGATTAAAAAATGTATACAGCATTTAATAACAGTAAATATGCAATGTTGATCCATGAGATTCAACAAAAAATGTTAATTTTTTAATGCATGTGTGTCATGGAATCATTGGGCATTTCTTTACTCTTGAAATGATGAAAATTGCTATGAAAAGTTCTTTGTTTTTTACATATGTTAGTTTAGTGACATGCCTATTATGCATGTGTATTGTGTACCATACAATATACATATCTACCATACTATTGTGTACCATACCATTAATCATACCATGCCTACCTACTTGCAGAACTGAGCTTCCAGTCAAATTTGATCTTAGCAAATAATGACAGTAAGCTGTAGCCTCTTGACGACCTGTACATAACTTGCTAATATTTTCTGAGGGTGTTGGATTTAGAATAATGACTGAAAAATTATAAAAGTTACTTGAGCTCTTTTCTGTGGTGCTTTCTGGAGGCGCTGGAACAGACCCATTATCAGTTGCTGGTAAAGTAATTGGCAGCTGTTTTGAATTTGAGTGCAGCTGTCCAGTAGCTTTTGTCATAACGGGTCACAGGATCCACTTCCACAAAGACACATAAGGACACTGATTGATCAGTAGCACTTAACCAATAAATAAGGCTACAGTGTTGAGCTGTATGCCAATGTGAGGACAAAGTAGTGTTGGGAGGATGTTGGGCATGCCCTTAGTGGCAGGCCATAAGCCTGCTGAGTGCTGACAAAAAGCAGGCTGAAATAACTAGCTGAAAATTATCTGTAGCCTCATGCAAAAGATCACATTATTCACATGACTGATAACATTGACATTTTTATTGAATAGTAAAAGCAGATCATATGACATTGTCCAACTAATTGTCAGAGAAATGGTTTTAATTTACTTCTAATATAAGTCTAATGATAACTGTCTGTTGTTATGTTGCTCAGGAGTGGGCAAAATAAATAAGGAATCAATTAACCTCTCTTTGCCGCTCTACAAAGGCTTTGGTGGCCCGACATTTTGATTTTAGGTACTGATGTTTTCTGCTTGGTGGATTTTTTTTTAAACCAAAATGCCATATTTCAGTTTCTCAGACACGATCGTGTCGTGGTCTTTCATCGGGTCTCGCCGAACTAATTAGCCACGATGGTGGTGCGTTCGTACGACGAGGAGCTTAAGTACTTGGAGCGCCTGACACCGCACAGCTGGCGCATCAAGAAGGGCTTCCAGCCGAACATGAACGTGGAGGGTGTGTTCTACGTGAACTCGCAGCTCGAGCGGCTGATGCTGGATGAGCTGCGCAACTCGTGCCGGCCCGGCGACGTCGGCGGCTTCCTGCCCGGCGTGAAACAGATCGCCAACGTGGCGGCGCTGCCTGGCATCGTGGGACGGTCCGTCGGACTGCCGGACGTGCACGCCGGATACGGGTTCGCCATCGGTGAGTGGGGCCGAGGGATTTTACATTTATTTGATTATATAGGATCTCTGAAATGGACGACATAGCGGAGCCGAGAGTGACTCGGTGTTCAGTGTTCGGTTCTACAGCTATCGCTTTACGGTTGTTGGTATTTACTTTGATTCTTTTGTAGTTTGTTTTGAAAGGTTGGCCGTGCGCGTCCAACGTGCATGAGCTGTGGTGCAGCTTCTGGCTGTCGGCTCGGGATGATTCTGTAAGACTGCCACGCTGTTACCTGATCCTGTTTGTTGAACAAACTTTGTTCTCACAGGCAACATGGCCGCGTTCGACATGTCCAACCCCGAGTCGGTGGTGTCTCCGGGCGGCGTCGGCTTCGACATCAACTGCGGTGTGCGACTGCTGCGCACCAACCTCAGCTACAAGGACGTGCAGCCCATCCAGGTGAGGATGCAGTGAGGGGTTCGGTGCTGGCGGGGATCGGCGTGGCCTCCGGTGATAACCGGCTGATTTTGGTCGGCCTATCGGTGGTGTTGTGTTAATGTGTTATTGAATGAGTAGGTACATGATGTTCTTTTTAGCACTGACGGTCGGTATCTTTTTGCATTTATATTTTATGATAATTATCATTATTATCATTATTTATTAATTATAATTAATAATTTAACGTTTGTTTTGATGTGATTAGACGCTTACCATTGGACGCTTACCATAGCTATCTCCTCACTGAAGGAGATCAGACTGTTAGCACGGGCACCGGCTTGCTGAGAGTGGTCAGGGCCCGGAAACCGTGACAGAGCGCTACCGCCCGTTTTTCGCTCGGTCAGCAGTGTAACGCCTGTTCACAGGAACAACTGGCGCAGAGCATGTTTGACCACATTCCAGTTGGCGTGGGCAGCAAGGGCATCATCCCGATGAACGCCCAGGACTTGGAAGAGGCTCTGGAAATGGGCATGGACTGGTCCCTACGGCAGGGTCAGTAACGCTGTAATATATCACAAGCTGGCTCGAGAATTATCAACTGCAGAGTCTGCTGAGATAATTAGTTTGTCTTATATGACGTGTTCTGATGTGTTAGCTACGTTTTATGAGAGCCACTAATGATTGGTGATTGCTTTAGATCAGATGTTTTACAGCCCATGTTTCAAGAGTATTCTTAGACGATACACCCAATAGGGCTAACATCAGCCCATGAGAAGTAGTTCATTGATCGCTTGCTCCTTTAATGCAGCGACATGTTTCAGAAAAAAATCGGCGTTGTATGTGCTGTTTGCTGTATCTGACTTGGCTGACTGACCGTTGCGTCACACAGGTTACGTATGGGCCGAGGATAAGGAGCATTGTGAGGAGTTTGGGCGGATGCTGAACGCCGATCCGTCCAGAGTCAGCACGCGCGCCAAAAAACGCGGCCTCCCTCAGGTTGGTGCGGTGATCTGGGCTGTTTTTTTATAAAAGCAATCAATTACCTCGTAGGGTTACAAAATATTTAAAGAAAGTGATAAATATTTCTAGAAACTACTCTAACATCAGTCTGCAGTTGTGCAGGCCAGTGTGATGCGGCAACCGTGTCTGCCAAGTCATTGTGTTCGCATGACCGTGTCTGTCTTTGCCCGTCTGTCAGTGTATCCTCTGCTTGCCTTAGCCATTATCGATATAGCGGCAAGAGCTTTTGTCTCTGCAAATATTGCTCCATCTTTTTACCCCAGTTGTCGTCATTGTCAGTCCGCTGGCGGCTGACGGTAACACGACATGACAGTGTCCTGTGACGCCGACTCCCCGTGCGCTGACACTGTTTCCACTCCGACCACTGGTGGTATCTGACGGTGTTCCCCCTCCCGCCCACAGCTCGGCACCCTGGGTGCCGGTAATCACTACGCCGAGATCCAGGTGGTGGACGAGATCTACGACCCGTGGGCGGCCAGCAAGATGGGCGTCGAGTTCAAGGGTCAGGTGTGCGTGATGATCCACAGCGGCAGCCGCGGCTTCGGCCACCAGGTAGCCACCGGTGAGTGGATGAAGAGCTGTGTAGAATTGATCAGATCGTTTCTTATAGAACAAGCATGGTGCTGCACCGGCCCGCCCTGCTGCCTGGCAAGGGACGTACTCGGTTGGTCGGGTCGGGTGCTGCTTTAGATAAGGGCTCTCGATTCCAGACGACGCGATATTACTGACCTCTGCTGAGGACTGGGTGTGATGTGACTTGTCCTGGGCGAGAGATGTAACGGCTAAACATATCTTTCCACGGGACGGCAGTTTGCTCTGCGGTGGCAAACTACGGTTTTCTGGCCCTGCGGTTTTCTCGTCTCCAGAGCGGTATCAGCTGATCTTTAAATAGAACGGCTGTTCTGGCCACCCCACATTAATTCTTGCAAACTACCCTGTTTGACTGAAGACCTATACAAATTTCCCATATGTGAACCTCTGTAGACCTTTGCTGTTATATCTCTCCCCAGATGCGCTGGTTCAGATGGAGAAGGCCATGAAGCGGGACAAGATTGACACCAACGACCGCCAGCTGGCATGCGCGCGTATCAGCTCCAAGGAGGGCCAGGACTACCTCAAAGGCATGTCGTGCGCGGCCAACTTCGCCTGGGTCAACCGCAGCTCCATGACATTCCTCTGCAGACAGGTAGGTCTCGAGATTCCCGGCACGTAACTCTTCCTCTGGTACTCACTGGACCCAGTCGGGGCTTTGAAAACTAGCAACCCCTTTTCTTCTTTAACTTTCCTGTATTGTCTTATTTCCTTTGGTTTGTGCCGTGATGTTTTATACACAATGTGCAGTGTCTTACCCAAATGTTTACTTGGTGTTGACACTTGTCGCTATCACCAGGCGTTCGCGAAGCAGTTCAACATGGCTCCCGACGACCTGGACATGCACGTCATATACGACGTCTCGCACAACATCGCCAAGGTAGAGGAGCACTTCATCGACGGCAAGCAGAAGACGCTGCTCGTACATAGGAAGGTGAGCTGGAGGCCTTAGCGATGTCGGTTCAGGTCTGGATGACGAGCTTTGTGGTGAATATGCTGCCTGAAAGAGCGAGTCAATTATATGATAATTGTGGTATTATTTCGACTTGTTCTGTGTAAACGTGTGGGTATGTGTGTGTTTTACTGACAGTAAGCGAACCCTTTCCATTTGTTTACCGTGGTGACTGATCTCATGCTACTGTCGTACCCCGACTCTAACCGTTCCGTTCTGTCGCAGGGCTCGACGCGGGCGTTCCCGCCCCACCACCCGCTCATCCCAGTTGACTACCAGCTGACTGGCCAGCCGGTGCTGATCGGAGGAACCATGGGCACCTGCAGTTACGTGCTGACGGGCACCGAGCGGGGCATGCTGGAGACTTTCGGATCGACCTGCCACGGCGCGGTGAGTACCGACCGCCTGTGTAATCTCTTTAACAGGTGCTGTCCGAGGGAATACCCAACTGTCAGATAGGAACGGCTCGCCAGGGCGGAGTGTCACAGTTACCTGTGCTTGTGTAGTCTCAACTGCCTGTCTTGGGTGGTCGAGCGACGGGGAGCGCTGCCGTTGTTTCGTTCAGAAAACACTTTTGATCGTCTTGTTCCAAATTATTGGTTTATTTGAATCATGGAACATTGCTAAGGTACATAAGGTGAAGCAGATTAGGTTATTTTAGGTGAGTATCACCTAAAATATATTTCACCTGGTGATATATTTTATATATTTATTTTAGGTGCTTAGGTATTACGGATTTCGTTTTGCCACGCTGTTTTGCTCTTCAGGGGCGTTCGGGCTGAGGCGTCCAGATTCAATACTAACAGCTGCTTTATCCGCCACCAGGGGCGAGCCATGTCTCGGGCCAAGTCGCGTCGCAACCTCGACTACCAGCAGGTGCTCTCCAAAATGAACGACCTGGGCATCTCAGTACGAGTAGCCTCGCCCAAACTCGTCATGGAGGAGGCGCCCGAGTCTTACAAGAACGTCACAGACGTGGTAGACACTTGCCACGCGGCCGGTATTAGTAAAAAGTGCATCAAGCTGAAGCCGATCGCCGTCATTAAGGGCTGATGGCGCAGAGGGCGCTGAGTGCGCTGTTCGGGGCTGTGTTCCACCGGCGGGACGTCTGTCGATGGGCGCCACGGTGGAATACTGCCCAAGTTCTGTGATCGAGACTGGATGCTGGCGCGGGCGCCAACTGTCCCAGGATCTGCAGTGCGGTATATTGTGGCTGCAGTGTGTGTGCTTTGTGTTCTCTCAGCCTTCCATAAGGTTAAAGTCGTCACCATTGGCAACGATGGCCTATTGTGTGGTGTAACCATGGCTCTAGGACACACCGATCTTGATATACCGATGCAACGTACTGTGAAGGTGATAATATTGCACTAATTGTTGTTTTTGTTGTGCTCTTTGGTTCCCGGCATATGCAAACGCTCCTCTATAATACATATACCTCAGAGCGGTCTGTCCTGGTTTTGATTCTGGTTGCTAGGTGGTCACACATGTATTGTCACACATGTATTGGCTCTTTTCACTCAGCTTTTATTAGTGGAAATGAACCAACGGTAGATTTTTTTTTTTTGTACAAACCATATCTTCCAAAGTCAGATCAATGTTTGACGAGTCACCCTCCGATAGATGGATGCATTGAAAACTGCTTTGCGCTTGGCGCTTTTCTGATACGTCCGGGTGCTAATGCCAAACAATGCAGCGTCAGCGGGTCTCGACGAACCGTTTGGCGAATATGGGTGACGATGCTAGCTTAGACGTCCCATGGAGATGCCCTCATGGCTTTGGTGACTGCCGCCGCTTAGAGCTCCTGATGATGCCACGTGTTGCAAGCAGTAACAATGAATTATTGCACCACGGATCGGATATTGGTTTATATATAACTATGTATATTTTTTTGGTGAGCCCCCTATCCCAGCATTGTCCTGTCGTTCCTCTCAACGGTGCTCTCGACTCTCCGGTGTTTTTGTCTGCCTACTTTCTTTACGAAGGCTGATTATGCCGCCGGATATCTTTTTCGTCCCACTTAGAACGGTTTCGTTTTTATATCGGTCGATTCATCTCGTTTAATAGCGCGGGTGTGACAGGTCCGTCCCTATCCGTGACCCATTTATTTGTAAGCTTATAGCTGCGATAGGTCGCTTTTATAACATTGAGGAAAAATCTACCGAAGAGCATTTCGCTTGTTCATGGGTTGACGGAAGGTTGCCCGAGGCTGACAAGCGACTCCGTTGACATTTTCCAGTTCGTCTCATAGGTATGTTGAAATGAAACTGGCTTGGTTATCGGGCTACATTCAGTTATTGCTCCAGCACACGTTCATGGAACATCTATCGGCTATGTCGTTGTCCAGTCCAGCTGACAGTGAAGTGCGGCTACTAAAGGCTCCAGCTGCCTGTGAGACTGTCTGACGCTTCTGTACGGAGTACCGCCGTGAAGCGCGCGCGCGCCGCCACCAGTGACCGCGTTTCCCAGTTCCGCGTTCCAGTCGCGTGGTTTGTTGACCTTCAGAACGATAGTGGGTCAGCGGGCCGCCCCGTCCCGAACCCCAAATGGTGGACACCGGACCATGGTTTCTCACCAATGGCTTCTCACCAGTATTCTCTCACCAATGGCCGCACCGGAAATGTCAGGAACGGGAGTGGCTGCTCGGGCGGGGCCGTAAGAGCCACGAGGCGTCTCGCATAGCCCGTCTGAATACGCGCAGTACCAACACAAAACGCACAAGACTAATGACATCGAATTTCGAACTTCGGAGTTCGAACTTCTGCTGACATGTTGTCGGTAGTCGGTCCTTGCACTATGTAATAGTTACAACGTTTGACACGATATAGGTATGTCCAAGTGGTTGCCAGATGAGCGATGATCTTTTTAGATAACATGGGCATTTATGATTTCGGTTCCGCGGAGTCTATTTCAGTTCTGATTGTCGCGGTCCTCCGAATGGCTTTCGCTTTGATCGGTCCAAGACTTTTGTAGGGCTCTCTCTGTACACCACACCATACCGAGTGACCTATGAGAGCGGCACTCGGTATGGTGTGCCGCTCTCAGATTAAGGTCAAAGGTCAGGTCAGGAGAATGCTCGGCCTGAAGCTATCTGTCCGGTAGGCAATAAGTTTCCGCCGAGAGGCGTCCCCGTTCATTTGAGATCAATTCGAGGTGTGTCGTCTGGCATTAGATTTCCGATACCTACCTACCGTTTCGTCCAACGTAACTGGAAGGGTCATTTTTGTGCAACTCACCGTTTACGTCATGGGACAAACGACTCATTACCAGGGGTGGATTTTTTTGTTTTTTATTGGGGTTGCACAGCCCTGAAAGGGCGCCCAAAGCGGTTCCGAGGGGCGCAATAGTCCGGAAGTGGGCGCCACCAGGTACGGTCGTAAACTTGGCGTTGGGGGGGGGGGGGGGGCGAATTGGCAAAGGGGCCCCTGTAGACCCTCGCTGGGGGGCGGTGTGTTAGCTTAACCCGCGTACCGCGGAAGGGGGCGAATATCCGCCCCCCTCCCCCTTAAGTGCTTCGTAAGTAGCGGAAAACTTCTGAAACCAGTATGAGACCCTTATATAAGCCCGGTGTAAGATCATTTAAGGCCAGTATTGAGATTGACCCTCATAAACCGGGTGAGACCTCGCACATCAGTATGGGTCTTTGAACTCCAGCGTGGGTCTTCCGAGACCTGCCTGAGCCATGAGAGGCCAGTGCGGGCCCGGGGTCATCAAAGGCCAGTGCGGGGTCGTCAAAGGCCAGTTCGGAACCTCTGAGGAAGTGTGAGCCCTTGAGGCCAGCGTTGGTCCTTGAGAGGTCAATGTGGGACCCCTTGACTGGTATGGGCCCTAAGAGACATGTGTTGCCAATGCGACCCAAAATAGACACAACTAACGACATGGGGCTCTCAAAGACTAGCAGCGGCCCTTAAAAACCTGTACGGGCCAAACAGATCGACAGGGGCCCTCCGAGATCGGCAGAGAATAAGAAGATAGCATGAGGCGCCTATGATGGGCAGGCCCGGGCTCTCAAAGACCTAAATAGAACTATCAGAGACCAGGGACCCTTGGCAGCAGACATGGGCCCTCAGAAACCGATGTGATCCCGATATGGTAATAGACCTTAATGCCGGCCCGCTGCGACGAGATAACGGCCCTCAAATTCCGAAATTCCGACATGGGGACCAACAGAGACTGACAGGGAACCTTGGAGGACGGCATGAAACGCCAAAAGTTCTTCCTTGGACCCCAGAGACTAAAGATGGGACTCTCAGAGTTTGGTGCGGGCCCTCTGGGCTCTGAGGCCTGTTTTGGGCCACCAGGGTCCGGTTCGGTCCATCAGATGCCGGTTTGGGACCCTGAGTGGCCACTGGCCAGTACTGGCCCTCCAAAACCAGTTGGTCATCAGAGGCCAGCCCAATATGATCCCTTACAGGCCAGTGTGGAGCTCTCGGAGGTCAATGTGGGCCCTCAGAGCCCAGTGCGAGGCACCCAAAGTTCAATCTTGAGCCCCCAGCGGCCGGAGTGGGTTCATCAGAGGCTAGTGTGGGTCCCTCAGAGGAGCCCGATTCGGGGCCCTCAGAGGTCGGTGTAGGGCCCTCAAAGGCCTGTATGGAGCCCCCAGGCTCAGAGGCCGATGTGGGCCCTCAGGGACCAGACTAACCTGGCACCCCAGAGACCATAATAGGGCCATCAGTGGCGGTGTAGAGACCCCATAGACCGGCTGGGGCCCATTGAGGCCAGTGTGGGGCCTGTTATAAGCGACAGTAGGGCTCCCGCTTGCATGGTGTCTCGAACAAGACTGGTCCACATTCCAACCGCGCCCGCTGACCCCAGCCGTCGGCCCATGCGCCGGCTGGCAAGTCATCGCAGAGGCGGCTCCAGGGAGACAATCGAGGAGCACACTACCACAGGGCCCCTAAAGACCGTCATGGGTCCTCAGAGGCCGGCATAGAGCCTTCAGAAGCCAGTACGGGGCCCTCGGAGGCACCCAAGGGACAAGGGCCAGCCTTGGGTGTCAGTGACAGAAATGGGGTTATCAACAGCCGGTGTGAGACAATTAGATTAGAGGCCGGTTTGGAGCCCTCAGAGGCCAGTTTGGGACCCTCAGAAGCCAGTTTAGGGCCCTCTGGGCTCTGAGACCAGTACAGGTAACAGGGCCTTCAAAGGTCAGTTTGGAACCATCAGAGGCCGACGTGGGTCCTCAGAGGCCAGTGTGATTTCTACAGGCCAACGTGGAGCCCTCAGAGGTCAGTATGGGGCCCTAAAAGTCAAAAGCCAGGATGGGCCCTCAGAGGCCAATGTTGGTCCTAAGAGACCGGCATCGGGCCTTCAGAAGCCAGTACGGGCCCTCAGAAGTGCCCAAGGGTTAGTCTTTGTCCGCCAGAGACAGAAATTGGGCCATCCGAAGCCACGGTGTTGGGCCCTAGGAGGCCAGTTTGGGCCGTCAGAGACCAGTTTGGACCCTCAAAAGACCAGCGTGGGTCCGTACCGGCAGTGTGAAGCCCTCAGAGACCAGTACAGAGGCTTCAAAGGGCAGTTTGGAACCATCAGAGGCCGACGTGCGCCCTCACATGCCGGTGTGGTATCTTACAGGGCAGCGCGGAGCCCTCAGAGGTCAGTGTGGGGCCCTAAAAGACCAGCATGGGTCGGTGTTGGACCCCAGAGGTCAGCATAGGGCCCTCAGAGGCCGATGTGGACCCTTAGAGACCGGCATCGGGCCTTAAGAAGTCAGTACGGGCCCTCGGGGACACCCAAAGGCCAGTCTTGGGCCCCCAGAAAAAGAAATGAGGCCATTAGAGGCGTGGACCCCTAGAGACCAGCTTGGGAGCCCTCGAGACCAGTACAGGGCCCTCAAAGGCCAGTTTGAAGCCCTCAGAGGTCGATGCGGGCTCTTAGTGACCGGCACCCAAAGGTCAGTCCTGAACCCCAGAGACAGAAATGAGGCCATCAAGAGATCAGTGTTGGGCCCTCAAAGGCCGGTTGGGGGACTCCTGATGCCGCTTTAGGGCCCTCAAGGGCCAGTGGAGGGCCCTGAGAGGTCGATGTGCAGTGGCGGTTCTTCCATTGAGGCACTTGAGGCAGTGCCTCACCAGCTTTTGGGTAAAAAAAGCTTTTATTAGGTTGCTTCCTTTATTTCATTAATCGCTTAGGCCATATAGCTTCCATGCCTCGGCATAGCAATGCTACCACCTGGGTGTTTACCATGCTACATAATAGTTGCCAATTTAGTGGCCTAATGCTTTTGTATGGGAGAATCAAGTGAGGCACAGCCTTGCCGAAAATAGCCAAGATCGATTTATTGTGATTTTAAATATGAAACTGTAGATATATGTTTAATATTTTTGGAAAGGTCTTACCGTGCTAGAAATGAAAAATAATTTTATATGAAATAGTTCAGGGAATTGTCTTATTATGCCTTACCTTTTTCTTGAAAAAATGTTGAAAATGCCAAAGGGAGCAGCGGCCTCC